TGTCCCCAGTTTCTTCCATGGGGCTCTGCAAACACAGTGAGCAGCGCCCGGTCTGGAGGCATCACAGCGCGGCCGTCCTCACCGTCCCCCTGCCCAGTCCGCCTGCTGCTCCCAGATCAGACACAGCCCTGTGCGGGCACAGCCCTGCACCTGAGATGCAGTGACAGACATCTACAGGGCTCTGGATACACCCTGGGGAGAAGGAGGCCGCCACAGCACACCCCTTCCCACCGAGCCAGCCTTGACCTGGGGTGTGAACATGATGCACCCACCAGGCATCTGGCCCCTCATCGCCCTGCTCCTGCTCAGGGTGGGCTACCCTGCCTGAGACGTCTATACACACACACACACACACACACACACACACACACACACACAGAGGAGGGGAGCCGGGCTGCACTGTCGGATCACAGCGGTGTTTGGCTGGCCTGGCTGGCTCTGGGCCCCCCTTTGTTACCTTTGGGTCCCTCCAGGCAAATGGCCAGAGGTGTCAGGGGTGAGACCTGACCCCAGGTCTGCAGTGTAGGAAACGGCTTTCCTGAGACCACATCCTTGGGACATTGGGATGCAGCAGTATTGGAGCATCTCCAGCCAAGTGAACTGTGTGGAAGGGGGTTGTCTCTAGAATGCGGGTGCCTGTGACAGCCCTTGGGCATCTTGGGGATGCCCTAGCCATCATCCTGGCATGTGTCCTCCATCCACCATGCTATGGCCCCGGGCATGATCCCAGGAGACAATGTCCAAACCCCACAGCCCAGCTGCCTCCACCTCTTCCTTCTTTCCTCCTTGGCACCTCCAGGGTCCATGCCCCCTTTGACCCCCCTGGGGAGTTAGTTTGTGTGTTTGTGTATGTGTGTGTGTGCGTGCACACGGAGCCTTGTGTGTATGTGTGCCCATGCAAGGATGACCAGAGGAAAGGGCCCCACATGGGAGTGTGGGCAGGGGTGCCCCAGGATCGTAGGGGCCCTCATTCCCAAAGGAAACCCCATGGGAGTGAAGCCCTGGCCTTGGAAGCTAGAACCCTCCCCGTTCCTCTAGCCTCTGCTCACCTGGTACGTCCCAGGCAGTCCCTGCCTCTCCTGCCCTCAGTTTGCCGACTGTCCCAGGAGGTGTTGGAGGAGGAACTTCATTAGTGTGGTTCGGCTTGGATGGTCGGCTCCCACCTTTTGGGTGGACGTGGTGCAGGTGCACTGGGTTGGTGGGGTCCTCCCACCAACGGTCGGTCGGAGGCAGGTGGATCCTGCATAGGTGCGCACACGGCCCAGCAGACAGCGCATGCGGGGGACCCCACCTCCCAGCAGGCATGAGCAACACCAAGGGGCTCGCTGTGGGGTCGGTCCCACGGGTCTTGATCTCCACTGCCTGCTCAGTGACCCTCACGTCCCCTTAGGCCGGGGGCCAGCCCCACTCCCGCCAGGCAGGGCCACTGGACTGAGTGGACATGGAGACCTGGGGACTAGAGAGAAATGAAATATACCCCCCACCTTGCCGTCCTGGCCGCCACGTTCCACTCCAGTGTTCGTCTCGGTGCATGGCTGGGTCAGGGGAGTGGGAATGGGGACACGTCTGGGCCGGGAGAAGTTCAGGCCACGTTTTTCTCCTCTACACCCCCTCCCCTGTCTTCCTGGCAGCACCCCGTCTCCCCAAAGTCTGGTACTCAAACACTTTCATCTCCCTGCTTTAATCCCCTGATGGAGTCACTGACCCCATCTTCCAAGTAGAAAACTGAGGTCCCAAGAGTTCCCATAGGAGCTTGCCAGTCACAGGGCTGGGACAGGGCCTTGCTGTGGGTTTGAACCCAGATCAATCTGACCCAAGCCTGAGCTTCCAGAGGAGCCCGAGGAAGTAGCCTTTGAGCCCAGACTTGGAGGGGAGGCCATCCTGGATGGGGGTGTTCTGAGGGGCAACATCTTGACAGGGTCCCTGGGGGCTGAAGGCCCTACAGAGGATAGAGTTGGGTGAGGGGTGCACCCTAGGGAGCATGTCTAGACCAGATTATGCACGGCTCTTTGGATGTTGGGCAAGGAGTCGGGATACTGCGGGTTGTGGGTTCAGGGGACACAATCCAGGCAGTCTTATTAGAGCCACAGCATCCTAGACTTAGAAGGAGCTTGTTGGGCATGTTATTGCCCCCACTCAAGCATGGATCCCTAAGCACCAGCCAGAGATGAGGAGACTGCCGCAGTTTCCTCCTGTGTAGAGTGGGGGCCGTGGTGGTCTTCTGCGTCCTTCCAGGCCTGGGCATGCTGCCTGGAAGGTCCAGAGATGGCTTCTCGTCAGAGTAGCTAGCTGTTCCAGTGAGGTCAGTACCCAGAGAGGTCTGAGTGAGGAGACCAATGATGCCCCACATGCCCAGTTCAGCAGGATGCTCTTGTACATGGTGCCGATCTTCATGTCCAGGCTGATGGGGATGAGGCAGCAGCGCCACCTGCTGCATGGAGAGCGGCAGCGAGGAGCTATGGTTGTAGACCCTGAGACCTGGAGCTCGCGTGAGTCTGAGGCTGCCACAGATCTGATGGAGCCTGAGGAGGGGGAGGTGCTGACCGAAGCTGAGATGATGCCTGAGGTCTCCAGCGATGACTGGGAGGTCAACTCCGGAACTTGAGGAACGGCAAGGCCAGCAGAAACACCAGACTGTGCAAGGCACCCCCTTTCAGCATCTACCCAGAAGCTTCTAGAGACTGAGTCTTTTTGGCCCCTTGTGGCTGTGGAGTGGGGACCCAGGCTCCAGGAGGGATGTCTGTCAGGGAAAAGGGTGGGACAGTCACCACCTTTTCCTGGCCATAAGGGACCCGGACACAAAACCCACGCTGATCTCCTCCACACCCAAATCGGGCTGGAGGTGCATGCAGAGCAGGTGGGTGAGGTCCCCGCTGCACAGGTAGGGGCTACATCTGAGCTGGACGTTGAGTGAAGGATCCTTTTGGTCTTCGGTGCTGTGTTGGGGGTGTGGTGGCAGAATTGAAGGGCTGATTTGCATTGATCAGACACCCTGGGTGAATGGGTGCTCTTGGGTGTCCATGGGCACATGTAGCTCTGACCCACGCATGGGAAGGTGTGAAGGAAGTGCAGAGAAGACAGTGCCCTGGGCTATGCGGGGTTTTCTGCTCAATGGCAGGCCTCCTTGGCAAAATTCAGCTAGTCTTCTTGTTCCTACAGCACAGAAGGCGCCTAAGGTCATGAGTGGTTCATGGGAAGCCAGGTCAGTCTGTTGCTCGGCATCATGCCGGGCAGGAGGAGAGGTTCAGCCTGAAATGACAGTCTGGGGGTGACCTGGAAAGCCAGGTGAGGTGGAAATTGCCCAGGTAGCCTGATCCACTCCACTCGGTATTGCTTCTGCACCCAACAACGCAGACCTGGACGACGGCCCTCTGGCTAGCTGGCATCTGGAAGAGTTAGAGTGTTCCTCTGGTTCAAAGGAGAAGATCCAAGTGAGTACAGCAAAAGAAACTATGAAGATTAGGGCAGAGATAAATGGAAGAGAAGAGCACTTGAGAAAAATCAGTGAAAACAATAGTTCTTTCTTTGGCAGATTTATCAAATATGACAAGGAGACAAAAATGGAACCACTTTCTACCAACAAATTGGCTCCCTGAGATGAAGCAGATATTTCTGAGAAGCACACAAACTACCAAAGTGACTCCAGAAGAAATGGAAACCCTGAGCAGACCTGTAATAAGTGAATAGACTGAAGCAGTAATGAGAACTTCCCAAGAATGAAAAGACCAGAACCCAATCCTTTCCCTGTTGATTTGTCCCACACGTTTAAAGAAGACATAATACCGGGGC